TAAGTCCTATCTCTAACCATCAACCGTACATCATAATCCTTATTTTTAACATAGGTTTATAACTCTTATTTAACCCTAAGAAGTAAATGAACATTGTCAAGGTCACGTTGGCATCGCTCAAAGGTCGTCCATATTGTCACAATAAATACGCTTTGATTTTCAGTTTTCAAGAATTAACTGATAGTGAAAAATACTGTCATTTATTTTAGAAAATGTCTTAGCATGAAAATGTTATAGTTTACACCATCGACCGGTTTGACATTGTTAGAGATTTTTTTTATTATATTCCAATTCAATGATCAGAACGTAGCATTCATAGTAACCGGTATTATTGCGATTGTACAGTAGTGAACAAAGCAGTTGGAAGGGCAGATATATTTCTTGGGATCTCTGTTTTTCAATGGTTGTTTGGATAAAAATATACCACGATGTAAAGTGCCACATTCACAATTTACTATGTTTGACTTATGTAATTGTTCTAGCTGGAAGTTCGGAAGTATATGTCCCTAATGAAAACTTGTAATGACATAACTTGAAGTTATAATGCCAGTAGTGTAAAGAGATGGAAGATTTAGTTACACAAAAAACTGTAACGAAACTATAATTTATGGACGACATTAGAACGAATCTCAAGTAACCTTGAGAAATATTAGCCCATCAGAAAACACCCAGTATAGAGTAAAAATATATTATACAAAACCAAAGAAATAAAGTGGATACACTTATAAGTGGTTCAAAAACTTTTCATTGTTAGAAAGAGGTTCAGAGGTTCTAAAATCGTAGTGCATGCAGTAGAGGAAATCATCTATATGGCTACAGAATAGTTGGCCACGACCACACAGCTTCAATTTTGTTTGTGTGCACTCCGGTTGTTCGGTGGATATAGACACGATTAACATAATCAAGCCTATATAGGCGTCTGTACGCTCTCCAATCATCCTTATATAATGTAGCATTTGGCTGCAGCTAGTGTTACTGGTGCTTTTATTATCCAGTTTGCAACAATTGTCATAATTTGCCTCAGTCTCAATTTCGATCGAGCGAAAAAATGCTATTTCTAGCAGATTTCTTCCTTCATCACATATTATATCAAAAGACAACATCATCACGATAATGTGCACAAGGTTCACAAGTCATTTGATTACCACAATCACGCATAAAAAAACTTTTGAGTAGTCTCATTTACCGTAATTGGTCAGTTATCACGTTTTGTTTAAAATCCGCTGTGAGCCAATAGTACATTAATATCAAGTACTGAAATTGGCACTGTTACATCCTAGATCTGTCTACCCACTTTGGTGCTGAGGATGACTTGTCTAATCTAGATTAAGACCTTGACGCGATAGACTGACTGGCTTAACCTTGAGGCTAGTACGCGTGAGTTCGAAGTGGGGTAGAGAGAAGACAACTATTTTATCACCTGATTGGCAGACAAGCACCCGAGTGAGAGAAGACAAGTCAACTGGAACACTACTCGATTTATTCTCGATTCCGATCTGGTTCTCGATTTCAGATCACTGTCAAATATACATGAATAAATAGATGACTAACGCTACTACAACGTACAATAATTAGGAAAATACAATTATATCCAAAACTGGCAATTAGTGTAGAAAATAGAGTACAAAATAATACATTTAAATTACAATGGCTTTGGAACAAAAAGGACTATGACAATGAATCATACATCAAACGAAAGCTTATGATTTGTAGAATAGACTACGGACAGGAACAAATGTTAATGTTTTACAAGCTTTGAATTAAATTAAATAACGTCCCTAAAAATAGCTTCCACAGTTTGTCAAAGCTTCTTGTTTCTCTGTTCACATCACGCACCATGACCTTGGTTATTATGGTATGACAATTAAGGTGTTTCATCAAATGTAACGAATATTTATAGACAATTCTATTTATTCATTTAATTAATTCTTAATCTAAATTTATATTCTAATAATATTTTTCGATAATACAATGAGATGACGTTTACTACAATTATGTGATATATTTGTGCAATAAATTTCGAACAATCTGATCACACATATACATGTTAAGATTTTTATATGTAAATTAAAAGGTCAACTAGACAGGTTAAACAAAGACACAAAACAATCTGATTACCACTCTGGATAATAAATCAGTATTACTAGGGTAGGTTTAGTGTAAGGACAAATTGTTTTTGAACGCATAAACAGGGTTTCAATTTCCGTATAGCCAAGGCTTCAATAAACCATAGTATACATCCTTGAAGGCTTTTATATAACACTACAAATACTGATTTGATATCAACCGGTCTTAATCAAATGTATTCGCAATAGAGGATGATATCTGTCTATCCTGTGATCTTATTTGATCATATATTTTCATAATTCCCTTACAAACAATTTTGGTATATTCATTAGTTTCAAAATTGAATATTGAACTATTCTATTGTTCAATTTGTAAGATACTTGTAATCAATGTATTAAATATTAACCAATGAAAATATGATATTCAAACAATGTACAATCATAACATGTAATATTCATATTCTAAATAATAGAATTTCTCAAATTCATGGGGAATAAAAAGATTTTAAGTAGTATTTTCATAAATTATTTATTTTTTTCTATTATAAATGATTAGCTAGTTGTCTGTATTGTAAGGGTAAAGAAAATCTGATTTGAATACATATCTGTCAGTCATTACTGATTTCCTTCAGCCCTAGAGTACCATAATTCTTTCTTCTTCTTTTTTCATTTCAACTAGACATGAAGTTATACATATTCATATACTTATAAGTAGTATATTATTCATATATTACTTTCTAGGTGAATGTCTTTTATTATGAATGACAGTTAACTGTCTTCAGCAATTTTATTTATCATTGGATTAAACTTTTTAAATCGAAAATTGGAAGAAATTAAAATGTCACATTTCTCTCTTATAAACTTTTTTTTCAGATAATTTTAAAATTGTATCCAGATATTTATCCAATATTCCTAGAGTTTCCTTCTTAGAATGTCTTGAATCTATATATATATCATTAGACAGATTCCAGTGCACACCTAGCAATAGAATTAAACATTAGAACATTTAATCCTATAGACTATTTTAAGTTTCGTGAGGGTGGGTGGGTGGGTGGTTGGGGGAAATAAATATAATTAATCCATTTAATATATAAAATGTAACATGGAAAAAGGAAATAAAGTTTTGAATTAAGAAAAAATAACAGTATAGGAAAATTTTAATCTAATTGTCAAATGAATAAGTTTAAATATACTATTGATACTGTCAAATTAATTTCATTGAAAAATAAAAAAATAGGCTTTAATAAATGAGTTGAGTTTTAGTTATTCTACACATCAATAATGATAATAAGTCAATGTAAATAAACGGTGACCATTTGAATGATGACATTTATGATATATACATTACTTACTTACTTACGGCCGTTACTCCCAATGGAGCATAGGCCGCCGATCAACATTCTCCAGCACACTCTATCCTGGGCCTTCCTTTCCAGTTCTGTCCAATTTTTGTTCATTTTTCTCATTTCTGTTAACATTTCTCTGCGTAATGTGTTCTTTGGTCATCCTCCTCTGCCATGGTCTTGAGTATGTCGTGTAAGGGCTTGCCTTTTGCCACATTCATAAAAATGAATTTTTTATTCATTTTTTTCTAATGTTTAAATACACCTGAAATTTTTTTAAAAATTACTTTTTAATTTAAAAGAATTTACTTTAATAGAATCATGAAGAAACTATAAAGTAATGGACAATTATATGTTTCTAAGTATTAATAACAAGATTGAACTTGATAGTTTCAAATTATAATTGAGTATTATTTCGTTTATTTATTTATTCTGAAGAAGTCACGAAACATGGGAAATAGAATTTTTCTACTTATTGAGATAGAACAAAAATATATTTATTATTAAATGTGTAATTCGTTTTGCAGGGGGCGAGGTCGTGTATGCTTATTGCTGAGGAGTCCCACAACAGGACGAAACGGCAGTCCAGTGCTTCTAGGTTTCCTATGGTGGTCTAGCTTCAACTGACTCATGATCTTAACCATTGAAATTACTATAATATCCACAAAACCCATCTGATATTAATTCGTTTCATTTCAGAACGAAAATAATCTCAAAACACTACTGGTTATTTATAATGAACTAATTGTATCTCATGTAAAGCTATTAGAAAGTAGAATATCTTTACAATTGATTTGCATTAAGTTCTAAAGTTTATAAATCCAAATTATTATACCAAAGTGATAGAAAAGTTTAAAGCCTTTATACCTTTTAAAAATGATAGCCTATAAATTTTGAGAAGATTTGTAGCTCATATTATAAGTCAACAATAGCCAATCAACATCAAGGTCTACTGGAAAAGCTGTAAGCCATCTGTGGAGAAATTTGAACACTTCACTTCTATCTGAAGTTTTTGCTAATGATGTCGTTCAGAATAACGATGAATGCACCATGATCAAACTATTCAGCTTAGAGAACAAAACTCCACCGAATATAAGATTGTTGGTATAATAATGAAAAACATTGTTAATATTAAGATGACTAGTATGCAATGTTAACCTGAACAAGATTGTAGATCAATTGAAATTCTGAAATAATTAGTATAGATAAATATCGGTTACATAAAGAGTAACAGAAATTAGATTTTTGTTTACAGGTTACTTATAGTGTAAAACAGTAAGAAATATAGAAGTGACATGAGTGTTAATTAGTAAAATTTCATTATGTATTTTGAATACTACTAATTATAATAATAGTGATAATACAACGATTTATGACTAATAATAACAATAACAATGCGATAGATTTCTGTCATGTAAAAACAAACAAGGAAAGCTGTATGTACTTCAGTCATATTACGACATTTTAATGATCGTGACGGTTATAAAATTATTGATCCTGAGAATGGGTAAAACATTTGTCAATTAGCCGTAAAGTCTAATCACCACCATTGATTATTTTATTCTGTGATAACGTTTCATTTTTATTTCAGGTTAATTTAGACTCAAAGACTCGTTTACAAACTGAAGCTGATTTATCTAATCCAACAGTGAATACATTAGAAAATGCTCAAAAACGTATACAAGCTTTAATGGAAAAAGATTCATATCGACGTTTTCTACGTTCTGAAGTTTACTTAACAATGTTAAAAGAAGCTAGAGAAACAGCTAAAGCAGCAGCTACAGCTGCATTAGCAGCATCACTTCAAGAAGCTAGTGATGAATTAGATGAACCAGTATTTCAATTAGTACATTCAACTACATATACATCACCATTTTCATTTTTAAGTACATTTGGTAGTACATTTAGTGCACAGAATACACCAAGTTTAACATTACCTGGTGTAGCAGCTGCTGCAGCAAAAGCTGATGCTGGTTTAAATAATATTCAAGATTTACAATTATTAGGTTTATCTACATCAAGGCATATGCGTGAAAATCAACAAAATTATTCAATTGGAAATCGACTTATCACTAATACTAATACTAGTACTAATTTCACTAGTACTAATACTACAGCTTCATCTCCAAATGAAATTATTTCAGAATCTATACAAAGTAATATCACTTGTTGTCAAACTAAATTTACATCAACGACAATAACAACACATTCTACTATTTCTAGTCATAACTATTCTACTCATAATCTAACCGATAGTAATGACACCTGTGATATCACTGATAATGTAAATACAAAATAAATTAATTGTTCATTTATTATTTTCTTTTTTGTTGAAAAAAGTTATCATTTATTTCAAGCTAATTTATATTATAGATTACGTAAAAAGAAGAAGAAGCATTTCATTCATTGAATATAACAATAAACATAATACAGTAATCATAATGAAACCAATTAAACCATATACAGATATAAATCAGTTACATATTTATGAGAATATCAAGTATTGCTTATTTCAGTTTGTATGCTTCCTGTTTCATTATTTCAATGATTATTATTATTACTATGGTTACGATTACTATTATTACTAATGATATTGATGTTATGTTTCCATTATTTAACTAAAAGTTAAGCTGAATTGTCATGACATTCTTGTCTCATCTTTATTATCTAACCCTTAGTTAAACTATCATCTTATATATTTGATAAACACTGAATAAACAATTGAAAATGTAACAAATTTAGGTTAGAAATGTTACTGATACTGTCGATGTTTTTAAAATCACAAAAAGATTTGAAATCAAACACAATGAACTTGATTTCTCTTTTTCTCTTCACATTATCCCTGTTTTGTTTACTTTGTGTTAAAGTTTTGTTTTCAAAGAGAAAAATTATTAAAAAAACAACAAGAGTATCTCTTTCTCCATAAGATTTAAATGTTGTTTGATTTATTATTATTATTTTTTGATAACTGTCCCACTCTTTTTGTTTTTCGTAATTTTCATTTTTTTTTGTTTTCTTCCCTCCCCCACCTGTAACTTTCTTTTTCTTTCGGTTTTTTTGTTTCATCCCCCCCTTTGATTTTTCAAAAAATCTTTTCATGAAAATTTCATCATGTAGTGTACACAGATTAAGATTTTGTAATTTTTTTCTTTTGCTTTTTTTTATTAGGAGAATTCATCATCATCATCATCATTTTGTTTCATTTTTCCTTTTTACAATCGTAATAATGATAGAGGGAAACGGCAAAAGTTTTAATTAGTTGCTTGAATTGATGCGGAAAATTTCAAAGAAAAAAATAGTAATTGGTAACATAAAAAAAAGTCAATAAATTCAAGGAATGACAAAAAACTATTTCTTATTTGTACAGATATACAGTAATATTATAAACATGAATATGAACAAAATGTTATATACTGTATCCATGACATTATTCAATGCATTAAAATAATGAATACATTTTTCTGAATATCATATATCTTTTCCGCTCATCAATACGTATATATATATATATATATATAGTGCATATTTAGAATATAGATAAGTAATTCAATGTAGTTGTATTTCGACTAAAATTTGAGCCAGTTGACAATCATAAAATTAAAGTCACTAAGTTATTTTTGCCTGATTGAAATCAGTTAAGCTAATGATAATAGAAATTGATAAATGTCTGTATAAGATAAATTAGAAGTTGTTGAAGTGATCCAGAAAAGTTCTTGCAAAAGACAAGCAAAGCTCAGGAAACATTAAGAAGTGTTTCATTCAATCAGCGTTCACTTGAAGTTTTAGCCAAAAATATCATGGAATTGAAACGTCACATGTAGATGTTCTAATTGGCTGATTGCTATACTGCTACTATGTTTAGTAGCATTCGAGAATCTTCGAACAACCCAAGGACATTTAAAAATATTATAAAAACCCTATATTTTCTGTGTTAAAATGAACCTTGGAGTAAACTACTTCTCGCATACATTGCGTCTTCTCTCTCTCTCGTTGTTCAGGTCGCTGTATAGTTTTAGCTTAAGGATTACAGAATAGCTTAGGAAACGAATATAGAGTTCAATTCACAAGACTTATCAGAAGTTATGTATCTTTCTGATCTTATTAATACATTACATGTCTAACGTTGAATTTGATTTAATTTAGACATGTTCATCATTCAGTAGCAGCTTAGTAGTTTTCAAGGTTAATAGCTTTCTGTAATGACTATTAGTCACAAATTTGATCATAGATGAATAGTAATGAGAAAACCTGTGTAAGACCAAAGCAGCTGTCCAATGCTTCCTGATTAATAATAGTTGTTTAATCTATAACAGGAATGCTCAAATCCCTATCTTATTTTTAATAGAAAACTCCTGGTTAACATTAAAATAAGTATTCATATCCAACTGAATTACAATTAAAGTATATATTAACTAATCATTAGAATATCTATTCGAATCTAACACATTTATTTGGTGATTATTCTAACTGAAATTCTCAATAATCAGGATCCGAACTTAAGAGATAGAATAGTCTTTTACTCAAACGAGTTATTATCCCTGATATTTTAATCTGATAAGTATAAATAGTAAACTTTTGATCATTTGTTAATAATGTTTATATAATAGTAATTAGATTATTATTATTAGATACAGAAATAGTCGAATGATTCAGAAATTCAGTTTCCATAGAATATTTACCATTTTATCCTGTTTAGAATAATCAAATACTTTTGGTGATCTAACATCAATCGGTTCATGATCTCAATGAAAAAAAACGTAATAATCTCCACAACCCCTATACTGATAGATACATTACTTTGCTTTTCTTGTATCGTTTGTGTGTTTTAAAATATGTAAATATGATACAAGTGACTTATTGGAGATATTTCATGTATTAAGTAGTTTTCTTATTCATAAGATGAAAACACTTTTATTAATCAAATTCATAAGCCCAGTCTATTCACCAAGGTGCACAATTGATAGATATTCATGAGTAAGGATTATTCTACTATTGATAATTCAATTTATTACTTATTTCTATTATCGAATTAGACTGTTGCAAATAGTCTTCGTTCAGAAAATGAACTGTACGTGGGCGATAGCATAGTGAAATGTTAATTTTCAAACGCTTTTGTTCCAGTTACATGTTGTTGTTTTTTAAATTCAGTGATCGTAGTTGTAAATAAGTAATAAAATTACTACACTGCATATATTTACCTAATTTAGTTTTTTTTATATAATCAATGTTAATGATATGCTTGAATGATATTATGAGGTTACCTTACTCGTTAAGAGAATACGAAGGTGACACGATAGACTATTTTAATCCGTTTTCCCCCGCCTTGCTAACAAGATGAAGAAGTCTTGATGAGGCGTAGAGAATGTATTTTACAAGCACCCAGAAATACGAGGTCACTAAGCACACATATCAAGCTTATCTTTGATAAAAACGCCCTTGGGTAAGCTACAAACTAATGACAGTTAAGGATTTCCGAGTGGGAAATGTAAGCTGTAGGTCAACTAAGCGTCTCTTGGCGCGAAAACATAAAATCAAAAATTTCAGAATAAAATTACAAAGTTAGGGTATTTTCCAAGTGAGTTCTGGGGATCTAACGTCCTTAACAGTTAACCATTCAAATTAAACAGTTAATGGTCAAATACTTTTAGGTAAAAATTCAGTTTGTATTATTATAACTAAACGCGCGTCCTGGATCCCACTGCTACCCACTGTCCAACTTTGATTATTATGCTTGGAACTTAAAACAATATCGAGGCCATCCGCACATAATGCACATATGTCAAAAACAGACTGATCAGTCCTAAACAACAGTCGGAAGATACAAGCGAACAACACCAAGTGAATTTATTATCAGCTGATTTGAGGACGAATGAAATTTTGTTGTATTGTGAACTAATGAAAGTTGATGAACATGAACTTGCTCGTTTGATCTTGTATAGCCTGATAATGCAACGATATAGTTGCAAGAGAATGAAAAGAACATTTATTGTTAAGATAACATTATATAAGTAATGCATAAAAACATGTCCATATCACAAATTAATCAGTCATAGATAACCCAAAAAGCAGTATACGTTTCTATCAGTACAAGTTGTTATACATTATATCGACAAAGTGAGAGTTAGTGAAAAATAAGAAAATGAAAGAAGTCGAGATAATAACATAATAGAATAGTAGGTTTTAAATAATACTATATAGGTTTAATCTCTTCTTGCTTTCTTCAAACTTACTTTCATACTATTCAACTTAGTATGTCATTGTAGAGACTGGTTTACAGTCCTGTTTATTATCTCTGGGAAATGTTATGAACTGAAGTTTAGCTTTGGCCACTCAGTAGCTCCATGATAAACTGGTCGGACTTTTAAAAATACATCGAGCAAATAATCGTTAGGGATGTTTAGTAGGCGAAGCTCAATGTTAAGAACTCACTTGTGATAGGCACTAAAATAACTGGTTTATTTTACATATGGTACAGTGATTTAAATTTTTTAAAAATATTGAGGCTTTATTGAGCATTCGTCAGCCAACAACCTACTAAATCTGATAGAACATTTAAAAACTGTGAAGTGGTTTAATGCTCATCTCGATTCAATGTTATCAGATTAATTGCTGAATGAAATCTAACTTGGAACAATAAAAACTACTGCTGAAATTTTCGTGTAACTATTCTAGCAGTTCACAATACTTGGAATTATATCTACGTCTTCAACAAACAGATTTGTGTAAAATGTATACTCTTCAGTTGAGGACAAAATATCAGATAAAAGATTGTTCTACAAAAAATAATTACACTTAGAAGCATATCCGTAATATGAAAATGAAAGATAGAGAAATTAAAAGATCAGTTAAAAATAAACTCTGTTTCGAAAAAAGACAATAGTATAATAACAGTTCTATAGATGACGGAAATTACCGTCTTTCAATAAACAAAGTCAAAAACTTCATACAGATTGATAAATACAACTATGTTTTCATACATGTCGAATGATAGAAATTCGGACATTACATTTGTGGATGTGATTGTGTGTTAGATCATTTTATAAATTTCAATTCTAGTGATCAAAAAGGTCTAACTAATAAGTCTGTCTTTGCATATGCCATGAGAAGAGACCTTTGTTCTGTAATAAAGTCAGACAGTCATAGATCAAGAAGAATTCATATTTAATTAAAGCTTAATTAAATGTGTTTTAGTCAGACATAACAAGATATAAATAGCATACTATAATTGAAGATATTCATCAAAGATTAGCATATGTTGTGGAAATATTTAGTAGTAAAGAAAAACTGGACATTTATTCACCTTTATATCTTTATTCTATAGGTTTGTATGTTGAAGATTTGTGTCGTCAGTTGATATGTTAATCCCATATACTTTATTCCAGCTTCTGGACAAGTCAGTTTATAAATCCTTCTTGAGTCACATTTTGACCTTGTTAATTATTCACTTATCAACCCTGACTGTTCTTATATGAGCGTATTTGTGTGCATATCGTATCCTACGCATCACGTGTTTGTAGGTTATTTTTGTGTGACTACTAATTTTGATTAACACTCAATTAAATTGAGTTGGTTCACACGCCTTCTACACCGCACGTCATTTTGCTTCGTTTCTCTGATTGTCTGTTCAGATCAATGATTATACAAAATAAACGTATTCAAAAATTTATTCTCGTATTTGACTTATTTTGATTCCGTTATTCACCAACGCGATTGAATTCAATAAAGATATATGAGAATAGTTATCATGTATATTTCGACAACAATCATCCAATAACGACCAATTTGAAGTCAGACCCTGAGCCACAAAAAATTTGGCGAGACTATAATTTATGTATGAACCAATCAGGTATAGGATAACAAGTCTCAGATTTTGGCGCGAAATTCACTCATCTACTTGGTTAAATAGAGTTTTGAAATTATAGCTGATATAAGTTCGTGTTGAAAACCCTAAAAATAATACCTAACAACTCCGCCTGTAGCTCTTCTAGAGTTACTGCCCGTCCCAATCCCGGGTACAGAAGGATGGTTGGGTATGGGGTTAGCGACCCCATCCCGTAGAAAACTAACTCGCTAAACAAACGCTAACCAAAAAAACTAATTCAAACCATCTAAACTCTACTCTGGGAGATAAAAGGTCTTCATTTAGAAGAAATATGACGCCTCATGGTGAAGGCCGAGTTCCTTCGAAAGCCACGAGAACGATGCTCCTTCTAACAACCACAGCAACAATTTTTATAGGTACACGGAACTTCCGAACAATGTGGAAGACCGGAAAGACCAGTGAAATAGCAACGGAAATGAGGAGATGCAACCTGGTAGTACTGGGAATCGGCGAAACCCATTGGACCCAAGCTGGACAACAAAGGCTAAATACGGGAGAGATGCTGTCATACTCCGGCTACGAAGAAGATAAAGAAAGCCAGTGTAGCACTAGTCTCTGCATCAGTAGGCCTCAACATACACAAGGGGAAAACCAAGGTTCT